CGAGAGATGCATACTGTCGAGTACTTGCTGGAAGGAACATCTCCAAAAAGGATGAAGATTGTTCTTAGAATCGTTTGCTCTCGGTGAATCACCGATTCGGAGATAAAAAGGTCGAGGGAGGACGGAAAATGGAAGAACAACCACAGTAAGTACACGATAATTGAACACTGGTTCATATAATATATATCATGAAACCTTGAATAAAAAATACCATCAGCTATATATAACAGTATCAACATTGACATTCTATGGAAACGTCACTGTGGTTGTCACTTCACATATTCTTGACCTCGTCCTTCATTTCTATAATATATGAACAAACGGAAGCAAAAAATTGTAAGATGAAAAGAAGTCCTAAATTAACTGCGATAACAAATGGAAATGAAAGAATGAGAGAGAAAGAGGGAGAGACATAGAGTACTGATACTCAAAGTACAACCAGTATTCGAAAGACGCTCGATGAAGATAAATGATCGCATATTTTGCGATAATAGAAAATTTTCATTCCTGCATACTTTTGCATTAAACAGCATCGAAGATAATCACCGGCATAATTATGACAACAACAAGATGAATAGATACTCAAAGATATCAATTATTACATAATATTTTCACATTAAAAAGCATTTGAATCAAAGATATCGATAACATGAATAACATTCCAGAAAAACTTGACAATAAGAATCTCTACTAATCTTTCGACTTGTATATCGATTTTAATACACAATTTCTGGTATCACTCAAAATATACAATAATTTTCGCAATCAAGCATGCGATAATTTTTGACACCTATGCATATCGAATTGAGTCTAATTTAAATCCATTATACGAGAAACTATTCCGGTAAGTACTTCATTAAAATTTGATTTAATTTGAAATAATACTTGACAAAATATATTCGTGAACATATTGAAAGAGTAATAATTTTGAATACATATATATAAAATATGTACTAATTTTAATATAACATACTAATTTTTGTTAAAAAAATACAATTGCAAAATATATATACTCTAAAAATTGTTATTTGCGAATATATTTTGATCAATGATGTTCTCATTTTAAGTATCAAAGATTTACAATTATATAAAAAATTATAGATTATGTCCGAGGAAAATCACGTGCACATACTTTCAATAACCACAACGATATGATGATAACAACCATATGAACAACAACGATATGATGATCACCGGTGGAAGACATCAAACTCTAGCTGAACGCAATCTTTTAAGCCGATAATATGGTATGTTATAATCTATATTTTAGTACTCGAAAAAATATTTCACAAACTCGCAATAATACAATTTTAATTGAGTAATGTAGATGTATGTACCATAATAATTAATTTTATTCGGAAATATCTATGTTCATACATGATCAATTATTTTATATTCATTAAATACCCACACACCCTAAATTGTGTTAATTATAATCTAGCGAAAGTAGAAAAGAACTGAAATAATCAAACCAAAAAAAAAGCTTCATTAGAATCTAAACGCGGATACATAGTAAATGCACTTTTGCTCTTTTTATCATAGAATTACATCCACGTTCAGATTTTACTCTGACATTGATGGCTTTTCTTTTGGTTTTGATTAGTAATAATCTATATTTATATGCATTATTGCGAGTTAAAAGTTAAATTTCATTCCACGAACGCATTTTTCTCTCAATAAAAAAAATGAAATTATACTTTATACGTAAAAAAAATTTACTCTTTTTATTTGAATTTTCAAAAGATTGTTTGTATCGAAACCCGGTTATAACGTAACAATGAAAATTTTCTCAATCGAGCGTTTTCAAGACTTAAGTTATGATTTAAATATAATTTAGTTTAAGCCGATATTAGTGAGATTAATTTCAAGTTATTTAAATCATTAACGATATTAAATAAATTAAGTAAAAAATTAATAATTTTTAATACGCAAGAGCTATAAAAAGTACAACATATATAAAAGTTAGTTTAATGTTCATAATTAATTTCATATCTAGTCATATGTATTTAATGCTTAAATTTATTTATTTAAAATGATAAGTTAATATTGAGTCATATTTTAAGTCACTTTTAAATATTTAAATTATATTAATAAAATTCAATGGAGAAAAATAATTTTAATTTCTAGTAGTTATTAGGGATATGTGCTATATGAAAAAGGAGTAAATAGTACTAGTAATAAGTAACAAATATAAATTCTAGTCCAAATAGTCTAATCAGAATTACTATCTTATCTTGGCACTATTTTGATTTACAAAAATAACGACTATTACACATGATTTGTGTTGATATGAAAAATGCAAATTCAAAGGAAGTTTCCTTAAATATTTCTCTTAAATATTTGTCTTCAATTTCTTTGAATTTTAGAGTCATAAGTTTTTAAATTTGATCTTATACAAACCATACGTAAACATTCCTTTATTATGGAAAATTAGGATTCAAATTATTTAAAATTAATAAGAATAAATTAAAATTTAATTAATATATACACATAAATCTTCATATCTCTATAATTTATTATCATTTTAAAATATATAACCTTTTGTAAAGTAGAATAATTTTGTAAAGTATCTGCATCACTTTATCTAATCCTTATATATAAAAAAAAATTCCAGTTTTTCATTTAATATATGTAATAATTATTTATAGTTTCAAATCACACACATTTACGGTCAGTTATTTAATTGATTGACATAATTAAGAGCAATTTCATATTCGATACAGGATATGCAGGCCATTGATAAATGCAATCTTCTATTAATTCTAAAGTACGCAATTACATCTTTTGCGTGATATATCAATTATTAGATTATCAATATTATTCTTACAGTTATACAGGTAATATACAATTATATTGTGTATCAGTTTTGTGAAATCCGTGGATGCGATGCCATACAAAATAAGAAAATGCTATAGTCATTTTCCTTAGATTGAATATAAGTCAATGCCTTTGGAAACATACAATTTTTATATAGTATTTCAGTTTAATCATAATAATTTTGCAAATAATCTAGTCAATTCTAGCCATTAGCATTATTTTAAAGAATTTTATTAAGTAAAATAATCTTAATCTAAAACACAAAAAAAAACAAAAATAATAAGTTTAAGCTAATTTTTATAAGTATGATATGCTTTGGGAAACGTGCCAGTACACCTATATTATTTAAAACTGATATTTTTAAAAGTACAAAAATTTAATAAATAAGATATACAATATTTCCTATCTTATAAAAAAAATTATATTTACTTATATTCTTGAATGCAAGCGAATAGAGAGAAACAGTCTGTAAATATAAAGTACGTATAAAAAGTGCCTGTACATGAGCACATTTAATTTATTTTAATTAATCTGTATATGTACATATAAAAGTAAAATGTCCTCAAGAGCAGCTATCAATGTAGACAAGAGCTATGGTAGGAAAAGTGAACCATTCTAAATCTCTATGCTTTCTTAATTATAACATGCTTTTATAAATAGTATATTGTTTAAATATTTTTTTGAAAAAAATAATGGTCACGTTATAAGATTACTATTTTTTAGCAAACTAGATATTTTAGCAAAACGAAAGTATTCTCATTAATGTAAACCAAAGATTAAACCAAAAGGACAAAAAAAGATTAAAAACAATTTAAACTTTTATACATATATACTCTCTCTTAAAGTTAACAATATTATTTAATAAAAGGAACCAAAGAGATGCAAATTCTAGTCAAATATATTATTAATCTAGAAAAGAATTATAATTTTTCTAGTCATTGCTTTAATCATTTTATTCTAGTCTTTTTGCTTTTCTTCTCTTTTGTTATTCAATTTTACTTCGCAGTTTAAAATTATTCCAATCATTTGTCACTTTTTTAACCGAATTATTCGATCTATTATATCTGTATCAATATTTTTGATTTAACAGCCTTATTTGTGTTAGAATTTTTTAAAAGAATAATTTATACAAAGGATAATAATAGAGAAGAAAATAATTTATACAAGGATAAAAAAAAGAAAACTTTAGAGATTTAGAATATAAGAGATTAAAAAAATTTAATGTTAGATTTGACTTTTAAGAGAACAATTTATCTAGTCATATAACTATTTTTTTCGTAAAGATGGTTTGCAAATTAAGTTACACAATCGTATTCGAGTATTATGCGGCTGTGCTTATTTTAATATTTTATAATTGCGCTAATATCAGTTTTATTAAATACTAGTCGCATTCTCTAGTCGAAATTATTCCACTTAATAATTGGACAAATAAAAACATTAAAAATCAAAAACATTATTAATTATAAGTTATCGTCCAACTATTATAAGTATTGACGAACATTAAAGAGTTAATCAAACTTATTATAAGCTTCTTTTAATATTTACAAATGATAGATTTATATCTCATTTTTATTGCATAATGAGAATTTAATCAAATATAACAATTTTTATAGAAAATATAGTTTAAACTTTTGCGTGTAAATGTACAAGAATTAAAATTAATCTCACTAATCGGCATATATAATCGCAGGTCGATGTAAGTAACGATGTAAAAATAAGATGCTTTATTTTATTATACAAAGAAGAAAATTTGCGAAAATCAGATGCTTAATATGTATATATATATAATAATATTATATACGAGTGATTTCTAGTCAAAAAAGTTCATGGACAACTAACTCGAAAAGTTTTTTTAGGGGAAGAATAAAATTCCAAAAAAATATATACAGAAGTAATTGACAAATAATTATGCAACATTGAACCAACTTATTCTTTAAAAGCAAATCACCTAAACATGTTATCATATCGCTAAATATATTTTTATGCAATGGCTAAGTGTAAATACTTGATTTAAAATGGTTGCGTCAAAATGTATTTTTTATGATAAATATATATGATTTTAATTTGTGCAATGCTATTATTATAAAATGCTATTATTATAGTGTTTCAAAGTTGATTCTTTGTCGTATAATTAGATTCGAAATTGAACAGTATAATTTGTTTTATATAAATTATTCACTTACGGTTCTTTTATACGGCTGACAATCGGGGAGAATTCCTCACATACAATCTATCGAATCATCTTCCCTTAGATTACGTAGTAGAGCACGCGATCTCAGTCCATGGGCAGCGAGAATCTAGTCTGTAAAATTTAATTCGTAAAATATAATTCATAATAATTAAGTTCGATAATTTGATAAGATAAATAATTAGATCTACTCTTAATAATTAATTAAAGTCTATATTTGTCTATTTATTTATTACCATTAAAATTAAATTTATAATAGATAATGAATAAATAAATGAATACAAATATGCAAAATAATAAATAAAAATATTCCATTGTCAAAAATGTAACCATCTATGTATTTCTTTGTCATTTTACATACTTAACCATCTTAATTATTTTTCCGTTGCATGTTAATTATTTTTTCATTTTGACTATTTATCCATTTATTAGTTCATGTATTTTTAATCGTCTATTTTCTACTATATTTTATATAAGCTTATCATAAAATACTAGTTAAACTTTTTATCAATATCAGTTTTATAGAATAAATGGAAATAATGGAAAACAGATAATCAAGTATGTAAAATGACAAATAATAAGTGAATGAACGATTAAAGGTTAATCTAATTAATCTATTTTTCTAGGGAAAAATCTTTCATTATCATATAGTGAAAAATTACAACATTGTTGCAATTTTTGATGAATTTTAATATGTGAAATGATCAATTTTATGATTCTTTCGTCTTCTGAAAAAATATATTACAATTTTTATTTAATATGGATTATAAGATTTTTCTCGAAATGTTATATAAAGAATAATTAATTTATTACTTCATTTATTTATCATTTTCACTTATTTGTAAGTTCAGCAAAAAATAATATAATATTATATAACATGCGGTACGTTTTAATATTAATCTATTTAATATTAATCTATTTATGCTAAGGGCTTTTCCATGTAAGGAAGTTTGTCGTGTGAAATATTTATTGCTTTCAATGTGTCTTAATAATTTTCACAGAATCTAAGTACGTCGTACAACGCATTTAACTGCTTATTTCTTAGTTCGCATATTTTATTTATTATATATATATATATATATATATATATAATATTTATTTATAATATTTAATTTATATTTTTTATATATTATTTATTTATTTATATATTATTATATTTATTTATTTAATGCTTATTATAAAAAAAAATGTGTGTGTGTGTGTGTGTGTGTTGCTTACGTAATAAAATTGAATTGCGTGTAAAATATGTATAACAAGATAGAAAACACACAAATAGATACTTTTATAATTTTTTTTACTGATGAGAGTTTGTCTGATTATATTATCATTATATTACATCGAATTCAGATGTTCAAGGTGTTAATTATCCAGACAAATTATGATATTGTACATATGTGTGTGTGTGTATTGCAACTTCCATTGCAAGGTCCATTCAAAACAATCAAAAAAAATATGTATACGATATATTAAATAATACAATATAAACATAAACAAAAATATATGTATAATCGGAAATATTTTAAATTTTATAAACGAATTTCCTTTTATATACAATATTCAGATAATTGGTGTTCCGTTGTATTTTTACTCCGAAAAGAAATAATTGCGATTATTTTATTCCTTTGTAAGCTATTGTTGAAACCATACTAATAAAATAGCCCCGGAAACATACATTTATCGTTAATATCATAATTTAATGACCATTATACAATTTCAAAATTATTTCAAGTAAATATGACTAAAATATTTGTGATATATGTAAATAATTCTCTACGTTTATAGAAATACAAAATAAAATTCGTTATTCGGTAAAAATTTATAGAATAATTTAAAAAATTTATAAAACTTCTCAAAACAGTTGAAAGATTCATAATTTAATGACAATTATTTTTGACTATTTAACTTTATAATCAATGCTTTAATTGCACATTCTTTTGTATATGAATTCGTACATATTTACCGCAAAAATGATAGAACGAAAAAAAAGTGGACAGTTGTAAATAATTGTAATTATTAGTAAACTAATATGCTTTTTTCCCTTTTTAAATAATTCTACCTAAATTAAAATATTTTACTAACTGCTAACACATTTTCCCCTAACGTGCTAGTACTTGACTAGGAAAGTGCATCAAGTAAATCACGCTATGAATATTTAATCATGCAATTTTCACGGATTTTGATGCTCGACAAACATCGCCAACGATTTTGCACACGATGTCGTCAATCAATACTTCGATTATCTCAAAATCGATTATTTTAATCTTAATAGTGAAATTGCGAGATCTACAAATAAGATGACGAATGAGGTAGCCATTCTTCCAAAAACCGCGAAATTAATCTAGATAATTATTTAAATTATTCGAGGAAAATGTGATAACAATGAAATTTTCAATTTATATTTTTATAAGAAAAATACGAAATCAGGATTAATTCTATATCTCATATATTATGCATTTGAAGATAGAAAAAGGAAGCGCATGAAGTGTTAGAAAAAGAGAGCGCATAGAAAACTTTTCAAACATGGAGTTTATATACCTGCGAGGTTACAGCGATATATTTCTTTTTCTAAACCACATCAGAATATCACAAGCAAATTCAACGATTGTTTTGAATGTACTACCGACAATTATCGATTTTGATCTACAAACGCGATGAATCACGAAAAAAAAACGAGTAAGCTAATAACCGTTACCTTCAGGATATCGTTCTTCACGTTGAGGACGCCACATCCTAGTCGCCATTTTTCACCATTTCTTCTTCACTTGGGTCATCGATAATACGATGTATATATGGTATTTTTTCTTCTGTTACTAGACATTTCTATTTTCACTTCACACCATAAAAATTGTTTCTTCATTCCGATTGGTCCATCGAGTATTTTGAAGTGAGAAGTTTGTTCTTATTAGTTGACAATGAACTAGAAGAACAAATCCAAAAGTTTAAAAAGAACTAGTTTAATGAGAAATAGTATCGCGATATTTCATATGCAAATAGATACATATCATATATCGAATTTCTATCACATCTCTTTAGAAATGACGAAAATATTAGAATTGCACGTTGAAATAAAAATATTTCAAAAGTATAATAGAGAAAAAAAAATTACAGGTCGTCGATAATGTAACCTCTCTTCAATATCTTATGTATTAACATTTTTAGGAACATATTTCGTACACGTTTGAATTAATTTACATTAATTTTTTATACATTATACAACAATCGAAAGATATTTACCAAATAATAATTATATCAAATTTCATATTAAAAATGTCGGATAAAATGTATAATATCGGCAACTTAACACTTATTATCTAACGGTAAGTCCTTATAATTCTACCTATAGTTACAAAAAAATCGATCAAACTGTATTGAATCCACGTATTTACGTACCTTAAGAAATTAACGGATAAACTATCTCTATATATTATAGATTGAGATCCAGAAATATATATACGCAGATTCTAAATCGACGATATGCGACGATAATGTAGTGACGCAGTTAACGCCGCGTATGGCGATAATGTAGTGACGCATTTAACGCCGCGCCACCCCTGCGCACTAGCACAGGTGCGCATGCGCCCTTCTCGCTCGTCGCAGGAACCATTACGTCAATTTTCCACCGGCGTTCGTCGCGGGAATAGTTTGACCTTTCGACGATGATTGAGACCGACAAGATGCTGCAGCTGAGGAGATACATGACGCTTCTTAGAGCCGGTGCAAAATCGCGCGTTGTCCATTCGCACCTGCACACGTCGTCGTCGCCGCGCGAGATACCAAGTCTCGTGACGTGTGAAGGTTATGTTTCTCGTTACGTGCATCACGGCCTGTCTCGACTGCAGGTGCATTTGCGAAAATTGCCCTGTGAAAGTTACACCGCCACGTGTATCAGGACGTTTAGCACGACGGTTCCGCAAACGTCGATCGAAGACATCGATCATAAATTGATGACGTTGTGCGATGATATTAAAAGGGGTCAGGTGTCGGCGGACAACTTGAAGGAGGTTATTAAACTGTGCGAGGAGACCGACTATCAGCTGCAACACGACACAGGTATGCTGTTGCTCAAGTGTTGCGGCAATCTATTGTCCAATTTGGAGACGACCGAGAGGCAATATCTGACGGATCAGGTAAAAGAAAATATTTTTTAAAATGATTAAGTATTACAATATTGCATACAAAATTTTTCAAAAAGTGAGTATAAAGAAAAACAACGTGTACAGAGATAATATATTAATTTATTAACAGAAAGAAAATGTCCACTGTGTAATTTGAATTTTGACATACAGGTATGGCGTCTTGCGAAGAAAAGTAGCGAAGGACTGACGTTGGAGTATTACAATACTTTGTTGAATGTTCACATGGAAAATTCCAATTCTGTGGAGCCTAAGCAGTTCTTAGTAGACATGAACGTGGAGCCAGACAAGAACACCTATCATTTGTTGCTGAGTGCAGTTGCAAAGATGGGTAACAGCAATCATCTACAGGATATTATATCTGTGATGAAAGAAAAGAACGTCATTATCGATGAGGATACATTTAATGGTTTGGTGGAGATTTATGTGACCAATGATAATATTGCTCAGGCAGAACACGTGATAAAACTCATGCAAGATGCAAAATTATCTACGAACAAAGCGTACACAGAACTAGCATATGGATATGCGAAACTTGGTGATATTCCGAATCTGGTTAAAATATTGAATGACGAACCACAGAGCAACACAAATCTTCTGAAATTGATAGAGGTTTTGAGCACCTCCAATAACAGCAGACACATTCCTGTTGTTCTAAATTTTTTGATGACTTCTGTACCAACTATCAAGTTACAGATCTCTAAGACGATAACAAATTTGATACGCGCCGATCGAGTCGCGGATGCTCATATGATCATAAATTGTTTTGTTATGAATGATACGACGAAAGATGTTGCAAAAAGCTTTGTAAATAGCTTCTTGAACGAATTAATTATGTTAAACCCATCAGTCGACGAAATTACAAGATATACTATCGATTTCGTGAATTCCGGTTGTGAACCGCTGGCATTGATTAATGTAGCGGAGTCCGGGTTAAAGCTTGGCAGAGAAAATTTGTGCCTTGCGATATTCAAAGCAATGAGAGAAAAGGGTATAGAGGTACGACCACACTATTATTGGCCTTTATTAGCAGTAGCACATTACAATCACGGTGAAGCAAAGATATTGTCACTTGTAAAGTATATGGTAGATACAGGAGTGACACCAGACTTTGATACATTATTGAATTATGTATTTCCATATGTAAACACTGCAAATCCGAGTATTACTCTACAGAAATTACTAATTAACGGCGTACCTGGCTCTGTCGTGTATACACCCTTAATATTCTTTCTGCTGTCTCACAATCGGATGCAAGACATAAAAACATTGTGCACACGCAGTAAGTCATATAGAATATATTACAAAGAAATTATGAAACCTTTAGTGCGTGCTTACATCGCCACAAAAGATGTCGAGACTTGCGTATTGTTATTAACAATGTCTCCGCTCGGTCAAAATTTCATTGGTTGGTTTTTGAAAATGTTGTTGAACAATAAACAGTTGACATACACTGTGGAGGATTTGCATGTTTTCTTGGAAGCATTTAAGAAATGTGGAGCTAAAATACCACAATGTGATGCAACTGTTCTCAAGAACACTTTGTTGAATGAAAATTTCAAATTTACAGAAAATGCAAACATAATAAAGCTAATAGACAATCTAGGGAACATTAATTTGAAAGAATCAGCGCTCTCATTGTTCACTCCCCCAAAATGTATGAATCCTAATGAGCTAGCGTGTCATCTGGTTGAATTGAAGAACAAAAATATGCCAATCAGAAACACTTTGCGCCTGTTGCTGGAGATACATTGTATCGAGAACAATTTAAAGAAAGTCGAAGAGATAAAACAAGAATGGGACAGGTGTGGATATGAATTGACACCCGGTATGAAGATGCAACTGTTCGAATTATACGTCAGATGTGACAAACTGAGGGATGCCGAAATAATGCTGTCCAATCTAGATACATCTAATTTCCTCATAGATAACGTTAAGATTATAAAGTTTGCTACTGCATTGGTAAAGGCAAATAAACTCAAAAAAGCTTTTGAAATTATCAATAAAATAGATAATGTTAATTTGAAAACAGATGCAAAGAAGCAATGTCATCTGCTTTTGCAAACATTAGCAGGGAGTGAGTATGATTCTTACACGAAAGATATGTTGAATCTGCTCATCCAGAAGGGATATTGTGAAATAACAACCGAACTATTGAGACCGATAGTGGCGATATCATTAAAACACAATGATATTCAGGGTGCTGTAGATATATTTATTACATGTGCCACAAAATTCAAAAAAACACCATTGGCATTGGAACTATTGACGGAATTGTTGAAGCAGAAAGACAGTTCGAAATTGCTTGACACAGAAATAAACATAAAGAAGATATATAATACATTGGTTATGTTAACTAGTGTAGATGCTGCAAATACAATGCTAGTATTAGCGCTGGCGACATTGGACAAGACGCAGGAAATACAAACTATATTGCAGGTAATCAAAACATTTCTCCAATTATGAGACATTTGTTTTATATTTCTTTGATTTAGAGTAATTCATGAAACTGTGTGATCACATATTTAAAAAATTCTTTAATACATCTCAAATTTATTTTTTAATAATTCTATGATACAAAATCAATTCTATAATATAAAATCAAAAAGTCGAGGTCAGGTCGAGTCAGGTTATACATATAACTTTTTATAAGTACTTTAAATTTTTATAGTTTGTTTATAATTACGTGAAGAGAATATATTTTTGAAATAATTCACTTTTGTAGATAACTTTTTACAGTTTCGTCAATTTTAGGTATTTATTATATATTCTAATTTATATTTTTTTATTACGCAGAATCAAAGAATTTCCTCCGTCACTCTTTTACATTATTTCAAATATGCACAAAGGATCAGAAATGTAGATTGTTTATTGAAGCTCTTGAAAGCAATTCCAAGTTCGAACGAAATGGACCAATCTTTATTAAGCGAAATGCTTCTTTCCATTTACAGTAAGCCATATTTTCTCTGTTTTTTTTAAATATGTGCATGAACTTGATATTAATTTTAATAATGTTTATATTTGCAGGTAAAATAGGAGACTGCAATAATGCAATAGAGCTTTGGAAGCTAATGTGTGCAAAAAATATTAAGCCCAGTGAACAATTCAAGAATAATTTTACTCAGTTTCTGCAAGCAAATAAAGTTCCACTTCCCTTAGAGTTTGAACAAGATAAGAGTGAAATAAATGTGAATAATTAGAGAATTTAAAATAGAAATAATATACGTGAAATAGTGAAAAATCCAAAGATAAATAAAGCATAATAATAACAAAGGACGATAGGAATTCTTAAAAATATATTACAATATCATACAAAAAAATTATTATAATAAGAACTATAAAGAAAAGATATTAAAATTGCTAATTGAGAATTTCCATCGTTTTCCCTTGTTATTTTATGTTTTTTTTTTTATTACTCTCGATTGTTTTCGAGTAAAGCTTCTATTATTATCTTAAAAGAAAATAGGTAAATCGTTTAATAAAGAGATTTTAAATTCTCTTGAAGTATCACGTTATAATCTTTAATTAATTTAAGAGCTTTTTCTTTAAACGGTTCGTAATTGACGCGTTCTTTTTCCTTGATTATGAATTCCTTGTTCTTTTTATTATCTTCTTTTAGTTTCTCTAATTTTTCTTCCAGGTTATTGATCTCCGGATAAACAGGGTATTTTTCCAATCGTTCTTTAAGCTCGTTGTATTCCGTTTGCAATAATTTGAGGTCATCCTCGCAAATCGTTTCCTCAGTTACAAGTCCTTCACGTTCGGCAATTAATCCATCTCGCTCGAATTCATTTCGTGTTTTTAAGCCGTCTAGATCTTCAAGAACGATTAGCTCACTTTGTTGTTTTTTTAGTTTCTCCTTCATCTGTTTGGATTCTAATTGCAATTTCTCTTCCAGGATCCTTAATTTATTGAATGTTTGTTGCATGATCATATAGTCCTTCTTCAATTCATCAAAGTCATCGTCGCGATGCCCGATCTCGTAATCGTTATACGAGAATTTGTCCCGCAAAATTGCCGTCTCTTCAGCTTCTGTGAGATACTCGTTGTTCTCCACTGCGTTCGCCACAGCTTCCAACTTCTCCACGATTTCTCGTTCGAGCTTCGACAGCTTCTCCAATTCCTCCTGCTTGTTCTGTTCATATGTGGACATAAATTCTTCCATCATCTCTTCACGCTTACGCAATTCTTGATACTTGGTCTGTTTTTCCGAATGATTGTCCTCCATATCGGTTTCCAATTGCTCTAGCTGTTGTTCCAATTCCATCACCTTCTTCTCCTTCTCCGCTATTTGCGCTTCTGTTGCAGCGATATCTGTATTATCGCGTTTGATCTTTTGCAGAAGCTGCTCCTTCTCATCCTCCGGCGATAATCTCTTACCTTCTTCTTCTCGCAGTTTGTCCCGCTTTTCCTCCGCTTCAATAATTCTCACTTGTAATTTTACCGCTTCTTGTTTCAGCTGGGACAGTGCTATCTGCTCTTCTAATTGCATTTGTTCCTTCGATAACTGATCCAAGTCGCGCTGCATCTGTTGCGCTTGCTCCTGCAATTCAGTCTTCTGTCGGAGCAGATCATCATATTTCTCTCTTGTATGCGGATCCATATTCTCGATGATGTATTCCGTTCTCTTTCTCTCGTTATCAATATCCTTCTCCATCTTGTGAAGTTTCTGTTCCATCTGCTTCCGTTGTTCGAACATCCTCTCAACTTCCGCAGTTTTCTGCTCGTTCATCAACGCCAACTCCTTAGCTTCCTGTTCGATCACTTCCTTGTCAACATCTAGGGTCATCTTATCCACGACAAGATTGTAGTCCGCTAATTCGGCCTGTAGAATCGTCAATTCCGCTGCCAAACTCTTGGCTCTCTTGTCGTAATGCAGAAAGGTAGCTTTCTCCTTATTTTGTATCTCGATATCTTTCATTATCTTCCCGATTTCCTGCGTCAATTCTCGTATCTTCAGTTGTAGCAGACCTTCATAATATCTCTTGTCTTGAATTTGCCTGCAAACAGGTATTTTAAATATATTAATAATTACTTTGGAAATTATAATTATACAAAAACAGGTGATTTATACAGCCTTCCTGAAGACAGATTCAAAGTACTTAATTTGTATATATTTTTATTAAATTACAAGGACTTTATGATTTGCTACGATGATATTTACCTCATCGGTAAACCCCTGGTGGTACCCGGCCGCATGCCTGCTATCCCGTGCTGCGTAATCGGCCTGTCGACCATGCTGACATTGAATTGCTTGGAAGTCGGCAGTCCAGTGCCGGAACGACCCAGTCCGGAGCTTATTCTGGTGAGGCCTGCAGTTGGTGCACGATTGGATGGAAAGGATGCCGACGGTGGCCTCGCCAAAGCGAGACGTCCTGGCGTCGCCGAACGGAAGTTGGCTGAACCGACGTACTCCGATTCATCCTTGTGTCCTCGACGTGACCTCGGTCGCTCGTACTTGCTCTGAGGTCTCACAATACCTGTCGGCGGTCTGTCGATCTTGTTGGACGAAGTGCTGGGTGCATCTTGTTCACGTCGCCAGCGGGTGATCGGTCGTTCGTTGCTTTTGCCGGAAGTATTCCTCTCGCCGTCCATCTCTCGAAAAATTCGGTGAAATCGGCTAGATGTTAGGGGATCGAGGTTGGATTTCAAATTTTAATTGCTTGCTCGAGAGAAAGAATATAATGTAATATAAATCAGCTGTGTTGTCAGTTAACTTCGAGGGTAGCAGTAGCAAGGTATTACTGGAATAATGTTTTGCACATCGTAGTCATAGAAACTGATGTATCTATATCTGAGTGACTTGTTGAGTTTGCCTAATTGTTATAATGCAATTTGTAAAAAATATGTTAAATTTTCAGACTCATATTTTAATTATAAAGAATAAAAAGGAAAGAACTTTGCACAATAGATTGTAGAAATAGATTAGATGCTAATGTTAACAATGCAAACTCAAGAAATGGAGAAATTTTATAAAAATAATACATAATAATATACGTACTTCAATACAAACATTTTTTAATTGAAGAGTAATATATATTATATTTTGTCCAAAGGAAAATTCTATTTTTAATTTTAAAATGTAGTTATAAATTATTTCTATTTAATTCAATCATTTGTTTTCGAAGAAGTACAATTTCATGTAATTTGTAATGTAATTATGTAAGAAAAATTCGCAGGACAATGTTCAAGATATGCTGTTTTACCATCTCCCATCATCATTACGATCATTAAACAGATGACGATGGTATACGCGTTCGCGTGAGTTTATTTTTATTATTTACTAATTTCATTTATTCAACTTTCTCGGAAAAATCTATGAATTTTTATTTATATTAATTTAAGTTAGAGTTTATTTAATTTCAAATGCGTTTTCTTTACCATCCAATTTACTTTCAGTTGCCAAAGGATCACAATCCTTCTCGCCAGATGGCGCTAGCAGTGCCATCGCCTCTCGAGCGCGGCAATTATTTAACGGTTGCCAGGCAACGGCAGCCGTTGAGACGTGTCGAGACGCGACTCGCGTCGCGAGTGAAACGCGACGATGTGTTGAGGCTTCACCGGCGCGGAGACGGCGGCGACGACGGCGGAAGACCCCCGCGGTTGAATTTAATATACGTTCCACGTCCAAGAATATCCGCGCCGCGCGGGACAGCCTCGAGATCGACCAGCCAGTCAGCCGGCAGGCACTTCGTGGCGAGTGGTCGTCCAAGTAACGTGCTCGCGCGCACCCGGTACGTGACCAACTTCAATCAATCGGATCGGCCGTCCGGTTGGACGTTGAAACAAGCTCGGGACTCGGCCACCGATCGGCTCCCCTCGGCCCGCTCCGTCGCCGATCGTTTTCGCGCATCGACGCGCGCACGCACGCGAGTTAGCCGCGACAGGTAAACGCGAGTGTACGCTCGGAGCGGCTGCGTGTATGCGTGAAAAGACGCGCGTATCGGTGGTGCGCGTACCGTCCCCTCGTTCTCGTTCAACGAGCGAACGACTCGCCCGTCGTGTTAAACCGGTTGATTCCAAGAGACCCAGGACCAAGCCGGGAGTACCGGGATCTCGGGATAATGCTCTAAAGTGCGGCGAGTGTCGCGCGCGCGCGCGCGCGCATCCGCGTCCACCTTCGCGTCATTGCCGTTTTGTCGTTCGCGCGCCGCGATAGAACGCGCAACCGGCGCGCGTTGCGTCGTACATACGTTGCACGCTTTGTGCGAGTGCGAGTGCGTGTGAGTGCGTGCAGCGAGGCGCATCCTTCCCCCTTCCCTTGGTGCTTGTGAAGGAGCAGGGAATCAAGGTCCGCACACCGTCGTCACCGGCGCGGGATCATGGACGAGGACGAGATCGACGGCGTCAAGTCACCCATCAAGCGGCTGGGCTCCACGCGGAAGCTGCTCGTCTTTAACAGTGAGTCTTTAACGAGTGTATTTTTCCTTTCCCTTTTATTACGAATTCCCCGAATTTCTACTTTGCCAAACCGCAGCGTATCGCGGCTTTGCATCGGTGTATCGGATCCGTGCGTGCGAAATTTATTCCGTTCCGTACGAAAGTTTCGCTCTTGTATGCGAGACACTCTCTTAAAATAAACATTTTCCGATAATCGATTATTTTAAACATACCGCGTCAAAGCGATACTTTGCCGCCTCGAAGCTTCGATGTTACGGTCTTTATCAGGTGTTTGCAAATTTTACGAGTTAACGTGGAAAATTGGGAAATTTGTATGAGATTATTCAACGATATGTGACGTGAAGAAAATATTTCAGATTATAGATTTTGTAATTTAACAGAATAAATATATAAGCAACGACGTATTTTTCGAATTTAGATATAGATCTAGATCTAGATCTAGATTTAGATATAAATATATATAGATATATAGATATAGATATAAATAGATAAATAGATATAGATATAAATATATATCTATATCTATGTAGATATGTTTATATCTATCTAGATTATAGATATTTTATCATAAGTTCAAATTCGAAAAATACGTCATTGCTTATATATTTATTTTGCCAAATTACAAAATCTGAAATATTTTTTTCATGTCATATATAAATTTCATCATATAAGTTTAAATTATATGTTATAGATATAGATATATTTATATATATTATAGATATTTTATCATCTAAATTAAAATTCGAAAAATACCTCGCTGCTCATATTTATATTCTCTAAATAGATATAGATATATCTACATCTATAGATACTTTTATCTATATAGATTCTATATAATTTAAAAAATAAATGTTTGGGATAGAGAGAGACGAATATTAGAAAATGAATATATATATATATATTAAAAAATAAAATTTAATATATGTAATAAAAATCAAATATATAAGAATTAAACTCCTTTTTTTCTATTTTATGAAGTAAAGTCGCATTATTCAATAATTAATGATTAGGATCGGATTTGGAGAAAAAATAACGCATTAGCATTTTTTTTCATTCTTGGTTTATCGTAACTAATACGCGGATTCTCGAGTCGTATTTTTTTTCCTTGTATAATCTCTCAAAATCGGAAAATAACATATCTAGACAGCAGTTTCAACGGCGAAGTTTCGAGTTTCCCGACCGATAACGTACTTCCAATTAGTTTAACTTCGAATACGAACGAAATGATGAGCGAGGCTATTTCGACGTGTCATTGGGTTCGCGCGATAATCCACTTCGCGAAGATTAATGAGTGCGATTTCGACGAACAGGTGCGATTTATTTTCCATGCCGCAAGAGGTATGATACGCAAAATGGCACGTTACCAATTTCGTTGTCGCGTAACACGCGGGAAGAAAATAAGGCAGCTTCTCGTTTTCACGGACGGAAAATATGCATCGGCTTATGTAAAGCTCGACATACGTAAATATGTCATTCTGTCCGAAAACTTACGGACGGAAGTCAAACAAAATCGCCGCGCTTCTTGAGTTATGTATCTCCGCGAATGAGCGAAACCTGTAAAAAGAAAAGAAATATTCAAATTTATTATTATATTTATAGTTATTTTAATTATTTGATATATAAAATATTTATGTGGTTACGTTATATTTGATGTATTTATTATATTATCGCAACTACTTATTAGGAACTACTTATGATAAATAGATTCGATGATAAAGTATTTAAAAAAAAATTGGTTTTTAAACGGCTTTGGATATTTGATCTTTTTTGACGTAAAATTATTATACAAAAACGTTTATTTTACAAAATTTATTTTTTCTATAGATTAAATACGCGGAAACAGAAATGGAAGAAAAATGTATGTGCGAGAGATGTGCAGTGAGTAAAAAGCGAATGTTGTTCAGTGTTTAAAGCGTGAATAAACTCGCGTGCGAGATAAAAATTAACGTTCGAGAGAAACGAATTCCACTTGAGAAATGCTTATAGCTGTATATTAGAAACTAGGCGTCCGGCCGATTTGCAAATAAACACATCGTTCCGCATGAGAAGAGGAGAAACGCGTCGTGCTCGAAACAAAATTGCGATCTTCGTTCGAAAGATGTAAAGATAATTTCTTATCTTGCAAAGGGATTTTTTTGTGACTCGCATTCCATCGGTATCCGTTAATTTCGCGTATACGCTATTCAATCCCGGATATTTGTTTGCGAAACCAGATTGAAAGCTTCGTTAATCTTGAATATTTTCTTAAACGATTCAGGATAATCTCATGCATAAATTTGCATTACTTTCTTTCTATTTGAATATGGCTACGGTCAGCAGAATATGTTATTTTAATAAAACAAGTCATTTTCTCGTTGCCAATTATAAATTAAGTATTATATATTGTTTTATTTATATTTATTTATTTAAATTAAGTATTTTATATTGTTTTATTTTTTTCTCGCACTGGGAGTTTGAATGTAAAATAATAATCTTTATTAATTATATCATCTCTCATCTTTATCTGAATTATAAAAAGCACACATACATAATAGAGTTTGCTTAGGAAAATTACTGTCCTAGATGAGTAATTCTATTCTTGATGACATAAGATTCATTATTGTGTTGTGGAAAGCTAATTTGCGAGAAGTCTAATAAATCATCGACTGGCAATCGTAATTTGTCGATATATTTCCACATATTCTAACGGAATGCCTAATAGTTAAACGGAAGAGCGAGATAATCGGTACACGTGCTATGCGCCAAAATAATTCGTGTGCCTTTCATCAAAAGGATTTACGCGTTTAATATTGAGAGAACGCGCCGTCATTGTGGAATACGGTGAGAGGCGATCAAGTGCATACAATTGCACCATCATTGGAATGCCGGTGCATAGAGAGACTGTAACGTGCAACAGGCACTCCTAGATTGCTCTCAGATCACACGTCGATTCAAGCTCGATGGAAGATTGCAATCGTATGAACGCACCATAAAGAAGTCTTTAAAATAAATTAATAATTAAAACTGACGAGATTTTTTCATAAATTTTATCCAAAAATTATTTAATATTTTATTTCATATTGAAAGGCATAGATTAATGACTATAAATAAAGTGCGACATTTTGTTTTATAATTAATTTTACATTAATTAATTAGACTATTTCAACAGAAAAATCGTTCGCATTGTTAGTTATAATAGGAAGAAATTGAAAAATAACAAAAAATAACAAAAGGTTCGGTGAATATCATTTTGTACATTATAACGGAATTTTTAACCGTAATCGTTACCAAATCTGTTAATGTGTGTTTTTTGTTGTTAAAACTTTTAAGTCGTACAAATGAAATTAATCATGTGTCCGATCACTCATTGGATACATTGATTGATTGTTATTTTCTAATGAACGTCTATCGCCTCTCAACGAAGTATGTTATTTTAGCTTTCGACTTCTCGTTTATTTTGTATATTTAACCGAATATTTCACTCAACCAAAACTCTTCCTCTTAATCGAAAAAAAATAATTCCCTGAGAAATTTTTTCGCTTCACAGATAAATTATTCAATCATTTTGCACAATGATCTTCTTAACATTATTGACAGTATTAACTTTATTCTTAACATTCTTAATATGTTGTTACAGTTGTAGCTTTGTTAGAAATAGATAGATGCATAGATCGCTTTAAAGAATTGTGAAGAAAGGTTTTATCTAATAACCGAGAATAATCTATACTTGTTACGCGGCGGACAAAATAATTTTTTGAAGAATCACATGAGTCTCGAACTTTGATCAAATTTGCAAAATCTCTACTTCATGGAAATTTTAATCTGCCATAACTTTCTAATCGCGCATTGACGTAGGCAGTCGATTTAATTTCTATAACAGGTCTCGACGATGAGATTTCATACGCGGCAACGTATATTGCGATGCAGATGTTTTCTCGCGTGACCTGATTATGAAATATCTCGATGTTCAATATTGCACTCGGAAGAATTATCACCGAGTATTATAAAAATAACGCGATATACAAATAACGCGCAGAAAGAAAATTCCAAATAAAATAAAATCCCTTTATACGTATAAAAGAGGGAAAGAAAATACAATAATAAATTTATTTAAACTGAAATCAATTAATTGAATCATCTGTTTGCATCGAAAGAAACACGAGAGAGAATTTTTATTGTAAACAAGATTTGTTATTTACATGGAAAAATCTATCAAATTATTTTTTTCTTTTTTACGTAAAAAAATCTATTAAAAATGTATTATTTTTTTCTACGTAGAAAATTATCCCTCAATCGTGAGAAAAAAAAATAGAAAAATTTTAGGAAATTTTCAAATGCATCACTGTGTGTGTGTGCGTCATATTGTATGATGTATTGTCAAAAGCATAAATCTAACGATAAATTCGTTGTACTCGCGTTCGCTCGCAAGGCCCTTCCGTTACCTGACCGAACCTTTCGACCCTTTCAATAAGATAAAACGAATGTTTTCCGGCCTACGGGCCCAGCCCTGCCGACTAAGTGTAACCACACACGCAATGTGCGCGGGCGCGCGTACACGTGTAGATGAGCATGCGAAAGAAAATAGGAGACAAAGAAGGAAGAAAGAAAGTACATTGAAATACATTCACGTAGACCTCGGCTATTTTTGATGCCGCGTTCAAGATTAAAAATAGTATCTCATTATAAATACTGTTTATCCTATACGGATTGCGTCAATTAGTGTAACTGTAAAATGAGAATAAAAAGAGACTTCTCGAACGATTAAGCAATTATTGTCATTTTATTGTCAAAAAATCTACGTGAGTCTATCTTTAGAATTCTTCGTCTATATGAATCTATATTTTTATTTACTCAAAATGTGGTTGTCTACTTTTAGAGTTTATTTATCTAATATTATTACATCTATTATTACATCTAGTAAATTAATATATCTAATATTTATTACTGATCTCGTTAATCTCATTAGTATTTTATCGCATTGAATGTTAAACAGACTCGACCAATGTCAACGCGACAGATGAGAGATCGAGACTGTCACTTTGAGTAAAAAAAAAAACATATCTGGATTACATTACATGAAACGTGCGCGCGCGCGTGGTCCCGAGCGCTATAAAGTGCGCGAAGCGCCTGCGCGTGCAACATGTCACGTGTGGGTGTCCACGTGCGTGTGAATCGCTAGCGCGGTCCTTTTCGCGTCCACATTGACGTCTCTCGCGGTATGTGCGTGCGCGTGTAAAGCGGCGCATGTATAACGGCCACCGTCTGCCGTAATATCGATCTCGTTAACCAGTCAGTTGTGTGTACGCGTCGTCGGTTATGCACCTCCCGCGCGATACGCGGGGCCCCAGTACCGTGTCCCGAGAGATCCGGCGCCCCCTTCCCTCCCTCCTCCCCCGCTCTTGCACTCGCGTTATTACAGATTGCATTCGAGATACATCATATGTTTATCTATCGATTGATATAATATTATTAATTTATAATTTATATTATTAATTATTATTAATTTATAATTATTAATTTTCAAGAAACGTGGTACAAGTAAATTTGAAAAAATTTATTCACGCTTCTGCATTTTCGGAACGAGAAACTATTTTTATCTAATTTTTCTCGGGAACAAAAATATGAGATTTCAAACAGGAGAGAGTCAAAAATAAACAATGAGAAACTAGCTTTCTAATCCGGATATTATTTTATTACATACATCGAGACGTGTACGTTAGGCGAGTTTCGATTACAGCGACAATTATAGTATATAATTATAATTATATATTCAGTTACAATCATAAAAGTTATTCCAGATCGATAATTAACCAGTTTACACTCCTTATTACATATATAAGTAACACTTGAAGTACGTCGTTATTCGGTGGGAAAGGCGACATTTACAATTTGTTGGTAAATTTGCACTTATCGTAGAATTTTATTGGCAAGGCAGATGGAATCTTCGTCGATAGCTTTAATGTGCGAAACCAGTTGACGCGCTACGCATCGATGCGTGCAACGCGATGCATTCGCGTCGCGCCGCTTCGATCCGTTTTGTATCAGAATTCCAAACGCGTCTCCACGCTTCTTCTTCGCCGAGTAACGTAAGTCGCATAAATTTCGCTCTCGACGAATAAAAACGAATAATTCGTGGAATTTAATATAGGGGGCACGCATTATAAATAACAATTATATCCAAGAAACGATGCAATCGAACGATGCTGCATAATTAAAAATAATTGGAAAAGGCAATACCTTTCTTCTCGATAATCCTAGTAATTATAGAATATTGTTAAAAGGATGAATCGCAATATTGCAGTGATTTTACATTAATTATGCATAACAAAACAACATATTTCGAAAAAATATAAAAAATAATTTCATCATCTAAGCCTTTTATTTTTTTTTTTTTTTTTATTCTTTCACATAGGCAGAATGTGTCCTTCGGGTGAGGATCTAAAAATAAGAAAAAGAAAAGCTTAGGGGAGGAGAAGCGTTTTCTCTCCTCCACTTGTTCATCATAAATACGTTGGACGGCCTCATATATATCGGCTCCACTTTACGTTCTCGTCGCAACGCGGAATCGACGGGCG